TTAAAAAGGGACAATTCCATGTCGCTGGTTTTGAGTATCGGAGGACAAAACCGGTCGTTATCCGTGCTTTGGAGTCTATCAGGGCGCATTGCTCCGAAAGATTAAAACTTTTGTATTTTGTTAAACCCAGATCATTAATAACCCCAGACACCTTTATGCCGTGGCCGTCAATTTTTGACTGAGGTTGGCGGCCGCCGCCAACCACCATGACTGAACATTTATGCCAAGAAAGGGAAAGGCGCAAGTGCAGCACCACTGGACAAAGGCCTGTAGGTCGCTCTTGAGGAGCTCGAGCACGATATCGCGATCTGCTGGCTTATACCTATATGCAACTTTCAGATCATCGGCATACATTAAGGGCTTACCATTTTAAAATAAATCTGGAACGTCGTTGACAAAAAGGCAAAATAATAGCGGGTCCAGTACACTACCCAGAATGACTCCACTCCTCACACAAGTGGGGTTGGAGATAGCTTTTGAAATCTTAACAAATTGTGTGTGAGCGCCCAGGTAAGAGGATATCAAATTCACTAGTTTAATCGACATGGACTGTGTAAATTGGAAAACCGTTGTCCCTGGTCTGGAGAACATGATCAAAGAGAGAGAGCCGACAGTTGTCACAAGACCGAGCTTTGGGGAATCCATGCTCTAAAGCGCTCAGTAGGTTATCCTCTGTTAAGTGACACATCATCTTATCTTTGATCAATGTCTCCAAGTTGTCGAAATTGTTGGCAGGGTGTTTATTGGCCAAAGGTCATCAAATGACTTGGACTGACCGTGTTTGGGAATTGGCAAAATGTGTAATTCCTTCCCCAAAATAGGGTAGGTTTCATTTTTAAGAGCGACATTATATATCTTGCATAAGAGCGACGGGAAAATAACATTTGATTCCGCTTTTAGAATGCATACCGAAACACCATCAGGTCCAGAGCTATGAGACTGATGAATACGCCGGACTGCTACAGTCACATCCCACAGAGTGAAAGCTATAGTTTCCAGAACTGCCCTGGTCAATGCCTGGATGGTCGGAAGCAGAGCGATCGAGTTTTTACTTAAAGTTCTGGACGGAAAGCGATGAAACTATCACCGGTCAACTGGCCATCAGCTATGAGATTCCCGAAATCGTCTCGAAAGTTGGGTTTCTGCGCTTTCCCTTGAATTCGTGCTCCTCGGGAGAAAAGTTTTGTGACATTTAACAAACGGTTTTCGGTTCAGTGGGCCTCTTCGGCTGGCTGTTTTTCTTCGGACAGTCTATTGGCTTGCCAAAATATGTCGCAAGTCGAGGACAAAAAGGAAACGTCGTTCTGAAAACGGAATCGGCGAAAACGTCTGCACAACCTGCGGCAAAAAGGATAAGAGTAAGGAAACCTCGTCCCCGACATTTAATATTTTGTTGTGGGGGACAAAACGAGAAATAAGCGGATCCAAAATTTCGTGCAGTTTTACAGTGCAAACATTTACATCCGAACTCAGGAAGAAATATGTCTAATCGTAGGAATAAAGTGTGTTAATAATTCCGCTGAGCGAGCTGATCCGAAATCGAGGAAGAAGCTATACTTTGAGAACAAAATCTTGCCAGCCTCGAGTTCTACTGCCAAAACAACTATGTCATGGTCTGAGACCCCGAGTGGGCCTAGGGATGACACTGACAAAGGCATGCAGCCTCTACAGAAAAGTAGGTCAAGTATGCTTGATCCTCGGGAAGGAAAATCAACAACCTGACTCTCCATTCCAATATCCACAGCTTCAAGTAGATCTTCGAACCCTCTGGGGCCGAAAGACGGAGACCAGCGGACTTCAGGAAGATTGAAGTCATCCGCAACCAATTGATACTTAAAGCTTAAGTCGACCGCAGCATGAAATGCCAGTGAGAGACTACGATCGAAACTCTCGTGGCTGTTAACAGAGCGATAGATACAGCCAACGAGTAAAGAGGAATTATCTTTTTAAAGCATCTTGGAGCCTGCAGTTGCCTTCTATCGCGGAACAACGCGGGAGGCCCAGCGGCAGAAATGGAAGTGTTTGCCTAACTTAAATGAAAGTGCCCCCACCACGGCTGTCTTGAAGATCATTTCGAATGCAAGTATAGTCTGAAGGAGAGAGCTCCGTATCAGTTACGGAGGCAGATGCCCATGTCTCAGTTACTAAACCAATATCTGGCCAATGGACAAACACCAGAGTCTGAAGCAAAGGCCTCTCTTTTTTAGCAAGGATCTGACATTTGGGACAAAATGTTTTAAGGGAAAGACTGCTTGTTTCTGAGAGGGATGGGCCACCTCATACAGTGGTTGACTGTCCACGAAACATACGGTCCGGATGCACCTACCCGGTTCTGCAAAAAAGTTTTATGGCATCAAAGGATCCTGAAGTGAATAAAGAGGGGTGGGATTCCGGGATGGAAATGACGCGCAGGGGAATTGATTACTGATGTTAGTCAGTTCATTTTCTGCTGGCAATCCACAGGTCGGATACTGTAACGTATTCCTGCCTGAGCGAAACTGACGAACGGGTGAGGTAACTGGCCCAGTGTAAACATTAGCATGCACAGTGCATTGGTAAAAGAACCGAGGAAACCTGTTCAGGGGGACGCACGGCCTCCATAGGGAATTCTATTCAAACGCTGGAATGTCGGCGTAATCGGCTTAACCGCTTCGATATGAGGTGAGGAGGTATTTGGAAACACGCTTAATTTGGGGCTGTGGTGTTAGATGCAGTGGCAAGCGACTATGGAGGAAAATATTTCATAATGGAGCTGGATTTGTCAGTGTTCAAATGGCTGAACGGCGCTAGGACTCGCCTTTAAACTAGGCACTTGCTTGTGCTTACTAGGGGTTGCCGGGGGAGATGGTAGGGGTGTTTGTATACCACGCGTGTTGTTGAGTTTAAAGATTTCAGCATCAAGAACAGTCGAATTCCCTGGGGAACTAACTATGCTATGATGTGGTAAGGCCGCAGATGATTTTAAGGAAAACGTATTCAAAATGACAACAGGTGTCGGTAAATCGGTGTTTTTTTCAATATTTTCAACTTGTTTGGTCTTCGCTGCATTGATGTGAGGTCCGGCGAAACTGAGCAATGTCAGTTACAGCAGAAATCTCCAGTTATCTCTTTCATCGACAAGATGAAGTCGACTTCTACCAAGAAGAAAAGAGTAACTAGTATCGGCGCGTTACGGCTGAGCGAGCACAATCGTTTAGCCTGTGCGACACTAAAACCTGTTGGGAGTGCCTGCACTCCCAAAAACAAGAGCCAGCCAATCACCGTAGGCCACGTGCGTTTTCTCTGCTGCGCTGTCATCTTAATCGTGGCGCCTCTCCATTGGCTCTTCCCCTCTGACCTGATCGACCTGCGTATTCGAGTTATCGACCAGCTCGTCTGGAATGTTCTTCCCGTAGGGCATTGGGCCGAATGCCTGAGAACAACAGTAAGACGTTGAAAATATGCTTTACTTCCCGTTAATTTTGACTTGCAATTTCATAATACACATTTTGGTGACCGTTCGCGTGTTCCTTCTCTGACGCGTTGGTATTGGGGACAAGAGTCGGATACGCATACGCTTCCACGTGCTTTCAAATACCAGGCCGGGTCATAACAAATTGGCGACGCAGTTTCTACTGCAAACGCTGACGAGTGCGCTGACTTGAATCAAATGTTGCAGCAGCAGCTGAAGCTGATGGAGGTTCTGACCGCCAAGGTATCCGATTCATCTTTGGGCCAATCAAACGCTGCTGGAGGTTCACATTCTGTCAGTGACATTGCCAGCAGCATCACTGAATTATTGTGTGATCCGCAGGCGCATATCACTTTCGATTCCTAGTACAAACGATACTAGGACTTGTGCTCTGTTCATCTGGCTGCCCAGGACGATGCATGGAAGGTTCGACCTCTACTTCGCACACTGGGTCCGGCTAAACACGAGCGTTGTGCCAACTTTATCCTCCCCAAGAATCCCCGAGAAGTCACTTTCAAGGACACGGCTCAGACGTTCTCGCAGATTTTTGGTGAGCAATCATCCCTTTTCAACACCTGATTTCAGTGCTTGCTGCTGTGCAAACGAAATTCCGATGATTTTATCACGTATGCGGGCATTGTCAATCGTGCATGTGAGTATTTCCAGCTAGGGTCTCTTACTGAAGACCAGTTTAACTGCGTCATTTTTATCTGCGGCCTTCGGCCCTCCAAGGATGCTGATATCTGGACACGTCTTCTGTCCAAAGTGTACAGAACAACGTAACTACACTCCAAGACCTGGCAGCAAAGTACCAAACGCTTACGAACCTCAAGCCCGACTCCGCAATGATTCAGAACCCTGCCTCGTCTTTCTCAGTTCTTACGGTCACATCGACCAAATCGCATCCTGTTACACGACCCAAGCAAGTGTCCAAGGCGAGATCTCCGCCATCTCCTTGTCGGCACTGCGGCGGGTGGCATTTCCATCGGGATTGCACTTTCCGCCAGCATCGCTGCCAAAACTGTAATCAGGTGGGACACCGTGATGGGTTCTGCAAATCGAAACCAGCTTCTGGAAGCAAGCCAGCCCCCGCCAATTCTAGTTTCAGGCACCGTTTCCGGCCAAAACGCATGTCCAAACACCAGTCCATTTGGTAATTCTCTCAGTCTCTTGGTCACTTTCCAGCTCAGTGCGTCTGGTCGTAGAAAATTTGTTGATGTTTTGCTCAATGGCCATGCGGTTCGTTTGCAGTTGGACACTGTCTCAGATATCACCATCATCTCTGAGAGACTCTGGCAGTCCCTTGGCAGCCCCAAGATGTAGCAGACTTCCCAGTCCGCCACAAGCGCGTGCGGTGGTCTCGTACAGCTAATTGGGCAACTGCAATGCTGTGTGTCGTTCAGCGGTACCAGGATCCCTGCTATCTGCTACCTCACTACGTCTGACCTCAACCTACTTAGTCTCGACTGGACTGAAAAATTTGTGTTGACCGATATGCCACTTCTCGTTGTTTACAGTCAGGTGCAGATTCCCGCTGTGCTTGCAGACCATGCCCAGGACACACTCCAACAATTTGCTCCAGTGTTCCAAGACGGCCTGTGTCTTTGCACATACACTCAAGCCATGCTGCATCTGTCTCCTGGAAGTCAACCAGTCTTCCGTCCAAAGCGACCAGTCCCATATGCAGCCCTACCACTTGTCGAGACTGAACCGAAGCGCCTTGAGGAATTGGAAGAACCTACAGGGCAACGGGCTCGTGGCCCGGTGAGTAGAGGCGTTGGCTTCTAAATCAACAGGTCGCGAGTTCGAGGCTCGGGTGTTCCACACTTCGGGCTTGGGTATGGCTGGCTGACGATGGCTAATAAGCCAGAAATGGCCATTCCAGTCTCCCTTGTCTTTGTCGGTAATATCATTCTGGTTCCTGTATCCAACGCCGCCTGGGCCGCTCCAATCGTTGTGGTTAAGAAGCCCAATGGTTTGATTCGCATTTGTACTGACTTCTCCACCGGTCTCAATGCCGCGCTCACGCCGAACTGCTATCCATTGCCGGTTCCGGCTGATCTTTTCACACTGCTGAATGGTGGCACTTGCTTTGCCAAGTTGGATCTCGCTGATGCGTATCTGCAAATCGAGGTCGCCCCAGAGTCGTGCGAATTGTTGACCATCAACTCCCACCGCGGTCTCTTTCAATAGGCCAGGCTGCCTTTTGTTGTCAAGACCGCCCCGGCCCTATTTCAACAAGCGATGGACGCAATACTCTCCGGCATCCCTGGCACAGTTGGGTACCTGAACGACATCATCATCGTGGGTCGCTCCCCTGCCGAGCTCCAAGACCAAGTGTGCGCAGTACTCGAACGCGTGCAGGAATATGGCTTCTGCCTACGGGCCGAAAAGTGCCAATTCTTCCTCGACTCCATCAAGTACCTCGGATTCGTTTTTGACGTCACCGGTCGCCATCCAGATCCTGAAAACATTCGGGCCATCCGACAGATGCCTGCACCTAGCAATGTATCGCAACTGTGTTCGTTCCTTGGCCTGCTCAGCTGCTTTAGCGCCTTCCTACCATCGCTGCATGACGTAAGGGCCCCGCTCAACCGTCTGCTGCAGAAGGATGCTCCCTGGTGCTGGTCCTCCGACTGCGAAAAGGCCTTCGCTCAGCTAAAGTCGATGCTGAGTTCAGATCTGCTGCTCACGCACTACGACCCGACGCTGCCGATCGTTGTTGCTGCTGATGCTCCTAACTACGGAGTTGGTGCCGTCATCTCACATACTTTTTTCGACGGGTCTGAAAAGGCGATCATGCATGCATCTCGCACGCTAACTCCTGCGGAGAACAACTAAGGGCAGATAGAGAATGAGGCTCTAGCCCTGGTTTTTGTCGTCAATAAGTTCCACAAACTGTTGTACGGTCGTCACTTCACGTTGTTTACGGAACACAAACCATTGCTGTCAATCTTCGGTTCAAATAAGGGCATTACCATCCATTCAGCCAGCGGACTTCAGTGATGGACGACCATCCTTCTTGGCTACGATTTCGACATTCGCTACTATCGCACTACAGACTTTGGTCAGGCTAACGCCCTTTCTCGCCTCATCAGCTATCATCGGGAACCCGAGGAAGGCACCGTGATTGCCGCCATTTCGATTGAGGACAATGTGCGCCGTCAGCTATCAGACGCCATACGAGGTATCCCTGTCACTGCCACGGACATCCGACTTGCTACTGAACAGGATCCTGTCCTCCGTCAGGCAATCACCTACGTGCAGACCTGCTGGCCAACCACTGCTTTCGCTGGTGATCTTCGCCAGCTCTCCCTCCGCCGGGCATCGCTTTCTGTGGTTGAACCCTGCCTCATGTTTGCGGACCGCGTGCTGATCCCATCTTCCCTCCGACCCACTTTACTATGCTATTTCCATGCTGCTTACCCTGGGGACAAGAGTCGGGTACGCATACGCTTCCACGTGCTTTTAATAACAGACCGGATCATAACAAAACCAAAGTCAAAACTTTGCGGGTACTAATGCGCTCCATCTGTTGCAGATATGTGATGCGGAATGTTTCGCAGTATAAAATAATGCTTGCGTTTTTTTCTCTGTTTCGGAGCTTATTACCGCAATAAATTTAAAGGTTTGTTCAATTACTTTTTCAGAAGTGCTGCTTATATCGTCATATATCAACGGATGTAGTATTTCGTCGGATGATTTTCTGTTACTACTAGTAGAAGCGTAGTCGTAACGGGAGTTTTGAGTTAGCCATATTCAGAGAACGTAGCAAACACATGCTGGCACCCGCTGTGTCTCCGACCACAATTCTAGCACTCAGACACGGCGGGGAGGCCGCGAGCTTTCGTCTTTCAGCTCGTGCTCTTGGGAACATTACAGGATACTTAAAAGGATTTTGGTTGCAACACAAGGAGCGAAACGACGGTAGAGCGGCGCTCACCGATCGCTTCTACGGAACTCATTCGTCCCGTTGTGCCTTACGGCTTTTTCTCGAGCCCAACTAGTCACCAGTATTTTTCCGGTCGCAACCGACAAGACAACGAGCCCGTGGCCCAGTGGTTAGAGGCGTTGGACTTCTAACTAACAGGTCGTAGGATCCAACCTTAGGTTTTCCACAATTCGGTGTTGGGTACGATTGGCTGACGACGGATTAAATGTCAGAAATGGCCATTCCAGTCTCCCTTGTCTTCGTCGGTAATTGGCTGCTTAAACACAACCCATAGCCAAATGCCCCGCACAAAGATTGGTCACCACTTGAACATGGTCCACAGGCCTATAATGCAGCTGTCACCATTATGCCACTAACTAGAAGACAAATGGACGCAGTCAACACTAGCTCTGGCTTCGCGAACGGCCACTGCCGCCGGAGGGAACAACTTAGGGTTCTTCATACAATGGACCCCGCATCCTGCTGATCTCTGTCTCTTTCTGCAACTCGAGATTTTACTTGACAATTTTAGCGCTCTGGGTACACTCTCGCTACTTAGCCACCACACCCATTCGGTTCAAATTCAATGTTAAAGAGCCAACTTGAAAAGAGTTCCAATTTATTTAAACATAGATTTTCACTACTATTCAAAAGGAATTTCCGGGTTTCTATTTTGAATTCTATTAGCTTTTGACTTTTTCGAATACAAATTGGAGAGACATTCCATATAGTCGCATATTTTATAGATAAGAAACTTGATTGTTGGGACTTATTAAATTTGGGCGTTCCTATAATAGCTTCGCTGTTTCTAGAGTTTCGGGAGACGCTGCGGTTTGTCAGTATATTCATTTTGAGAATATCATGGTTGTGTGTGACTTTTGATAGAAAATTAAGACCATTTTGAGTCTTCTAACTTAGAGGGGTCTATCTACGGCCAACCGTGATGCTTACCTCCTGATTTCATTTGATATGTAATGCATCTCGGCCCGTTTAATGCAAAATGTTTCCTTAAACTTTTAAAAATGACTGTATCTCATGTTTTATGTATAACATCGCATTTATAATTTCTAATTCACATGAACAGAGGCCTCAAGGGCTCCATCCATGACTCTCAAATACGTGCATACATAAATAAATCGGATAAGTGATTCGTCTTATCTGAGCTATTGGTTAACTTTTTCCCTGACAATCCTTCAGTCAAGGATTGAACTTTGGATTACGTTATGCCTTATTCACTTGGCACTATTTTAACTCTTTCTGACTCAAATGCTGCTCATTCTCTCCTCAGGATATTCCAACATTTATTTTGCTGTTTCTCAGATGTTCGGACAGTGGACATCCGTAATATCTCTTCCACAGACTCCTTTTCTTTTGGGATTCTCTTTCATTTCCAATGCCACCCATCCGGGTTGCCAAATGCACGATCGCATTTTACCGGCCGACATTCTCCTACTTAGCACCGAATCCACTTCTTTAAGAAATGCCGTGTGGCTTTTCCGTCGGGTAAATGGGCAGGATTCCCGTCTTTCTCACTCAGTGGTTCTTTTATTTCGGAATTATCGTTCTTCAACGCATTTTTCTACTCTATTGTTCGCATTTAAGGCACTGAAATGGAATGCATCTTCAACCAGGAACGCATTGATCACTTCGGCCCAAGGGCAGGCTGAAGTCCACTCGAAGGATGCAATTGTCATCCCCAGCAATAATCAGACCCGAATAGCTTGGTTGTTGTCCATTTCGGAATCACGTGCCCATTGTAGCCTGTTGACTAGAGAATTCGTTAGTGACCTACTGATGTCATTTGCGTTCGAATGAGTTTTCCGATCGCGTGCAGTGCATAAGGTCCCAGTCGATATCTGGATAGTTAAAATCTCTAGGTATTATTGCGTGTTTGCTACCGCAGCTTTGCTTCACCTCATTGAGTAGTGCACCGTTCCTGTCTTCCTCCTGTCCTGGCTGAATGTTTACCAGGGCAATATGTAGACTCACTTGGTTTGCTGCCGTCGGTTTTCAACTAAAGATCTCACAACCGAGGGTTCTTTTTAATGAGGACTAATGTGTGACACAGCTAACACTACGATTCCCCCGCCCCTTCTTTCATTTGGATCCATGCAGGCATTTTGTAATCCATTCAGGGTGACATATGCGGCTTTTTTCTGCTCATTTAGCCATGTTTCAGTAGGGCTAAAAAGTCAGGTAGTAATTAGACCACGACCATTTGATTTCATTCATTTCGTTGAGTAGATTCTGTATATTAGCAAACATCATCGTCATATTTCTTGCTTTCGTGGTGCCTGGAAGTTGTTTGTCGGGTTATGCTTTCAAGTACCAATGTTATATATTTCTCATGACATATCCGATTCACCTGCTGGGTTAGAATTTGCAAGTGTCTGACAGAAGTGATGATCGGTGTGGTTACTACCATTCTCACCGGATGATCCTATAGAAACGTGCGTCCCGTTTTTGTGATTTCGTTGTCTATCATTTTACATTTATTTCTCTCTGTCCCTGGCGCTCTTTCGATTCTGTTACCAGCGTCCTCTTTTTATTCCATCGACGGAAGGGTAGTCTGGCTGTAGTGTTCATCCTTTGTTGCGGAACTTTATGCGTACATGCATATGTTCCTACTTGTGCGGTCTTCCAAGGCGCACCTATGACTGAATGTACCACCATCAAGGAGTTAGGTTAAAGCTACACTAGTAATCTTGATCTCTCGCCACACGCTGACAGAATTACAGCCAAAGCTGCCCAGATTTGTGGCTTTATTTCTTACAATCTCTATCTTCCTGAAATTAAATTAAAATTCATAGTATATTTGTGCTTCACATTCTCGAGTATTGTTGCCCATTCGTTGGTTTGATGAACGAGGCTAGTCGTTCAAAAATTGAAAATGTTCCAAGACATCTTACTGGGAAGCACTTAGGCACGGAACATCCAAATATCTCCTACTCAGCTGGATGACAGCTAACTAACCTGAGATTTTCATGGGTTCGAAGACTAGAAGCAGGCGTCTTTTTCCTCCTTCGTATTTATACTAGTTGAAATCTTCCTCGAATTTCAACACTTACCCCTAGTAATTGCCAATACAATCTTCGTAACTCTTCCCTGATTATATCTCCTCATGCTTCCTCCACCTCTATGCGCTCTCTTTTTTCGCATCCAGGCATACTTTCCTATGGAATAGCCTTCCAATAAATATAAGAACTTCGGATAATTTACTTACTTTTAAGGGAAGGCCGAACTTTTATCTGAATACTGACTC